ATGTATTTATGTATTTATGTATTTATGTATTTATGTATTTATGTATTTATGTATTTATGTATTTATGTATTTATGTATTTATGTATTTATGTATTTATGTATTTATGTATTTATGTATTTATGTATTTATGTATTTATGTATTTATGTATTTATGTATTTATGTATTTATGTATTTATGTATTTATGTATTTATGTATTTATGTATTTATGTATTTATGTATTTATGTATTTATGTATTTATGTATTTATGTATTTATGTATTTATGTATTTATGTATTTATGTATTTATGTATTTATGTATTTATGTATTTATGTATTTATGTATTTATGTATTTATGTATTTATGTATTTATGTATTTATGTATTTATGTATTTATGTATTTATGTATTTATGTATTTATGTATTTATGTATTTATGTATTTATGTATTTATGTATTTATGTATTTATGTATTTATGTATTTATGTATTTATGTATTTATGTATTTATGTATTTATGTATTTATGTATTTATGTATTTATGTATTTATGTATTTATGTATTTATGTATTTATGTATTTATGTATTTATGTATTTATGTATTTATGTATTTATGTATTTATGTATTTATGTATTTATGTATTTATGTATTTATGTATTTATGTATTTATGTATTTATGTATTTATGTATTTATGTATTTATGTATTTATGTATTTATGTATTTATGTATTTATGTATTTATGTATTTATGTATTTATGTATTTATGTATTTATGTATTTATGTATTTATGTATTTATGTATTTATGTATTTATGTATTTATGTATTTATGTATTTATGTATTTATGTATTTATGTATTTATGTATTTATGTATTTATGTATTTATGTATTTATGTATTTATGTATTTATGTATTTATGTATTTATGTATTTATGTATTTATGTATTTATGTATTTATGTATTTATGTATTTATGTATTTATGTATTTATGTATTTATGTATTTATGTATTTATGTATTTATGTATTTATGTATTTATGTATTTATGTATTTATGTATTTATGTATTTATGTATTTATGTATTTATGTATTTATGTATTTATGTATTTATGTATTTATGTATTTATGTATTTATGTATTTATGTATTTATGTATTTATGTATTTATGTATTTATGTATTTATGTATTTATGTATTTATGTATTTATGTATTTATGTATTTATGTATTTATGTATTTATGTATTTATGTATTTATGTATTTATGTATTTATGTATTTATGTATTTATGTATTTATGTATTTATGTATTTATGTATTTATGTATTTATGTATTTATGTATTTATGTATTTATGTATTTATGTATTTATGTATTTATGTATTTATGTATTTATGTATTTATGTATTTATGTATTTATGTATTTATGTATTTATGTATTTATGTATTTATGTATTTATGTATTTATGTATTTATGTATTTATGTATTTATGTATTATGTATTTATGTATTTATGTATTTATGTATTTATGTATTTATGTATTTATGTATTTATGTATTTATGTATTTATGTATCTATGTATTTATGTATTTATGTATTTATGTATTTATGTATTTATGTATTTATGTATTTATGTATTTATGTATTTATGTATTTATGTATTTATGTATTTATGTATTTATGTATTTATGTATTTATGTATTTATGTATTTATGTATTTATGTATTTATGTATTTATGTATTTATGTATTTATGTATTTATGTATTTATGTATTTATGTATTTATGTATTTATGTATTTATGTATTTATGTATTTATGTATTTATGTATTTATGTATTTATGTATTTATGTATTTATTTATGTATTTATGTATTTATGTATTTATGTATTTATGTATTTATGTATTTATGTATTTATGTATTTATGTATTTATGTATTTATGTATTTATGTATTTATGTATTTATGTATTTATGTATTTATGTATTTATGTATTTATGTATTTATGTATGTATTTATGTATTTATGTATTTATGTATTTATGTATTTATGTATTTATGTATTTATGTATTTATGTATTTATGTATTTATGTATTTATGTATTTATGTATTTATGTATTTATGTATTTATGTATTTATGTATTTATGTATTTATGTATTTATGTATTTATGTATTTATGTATTTATGTATTTATGTATTTATGTATTTATGTATTTATGTATTTATGTATTTATGTATTTATGTATTTATGTATTTATGTATTTATGTATTTATGTATTTATGTATTTATGTATTTATGTATTTATGTATTTATGTATTTATGTATTTATGTATTTATGTATTTATGTATTTATGTATTTATGTATTTATGTATTTATGTATTTATGTATTTATGTATTTATGTATTTATGTATTTATGTATTTATGTATTTATGTATTTATGTATTTATGTATTTATGTATTTATGTATTTATGTATTTATGTATTTATGTATTTATGTATTTATGTATTTATGTATTTATGTATTTATGTATTTATGTATTTATGTATTTATGTATTTATGTATTTATGTATTTATGTATTTATGTATTTATGTATTTATGTATTTATGTATTTATGTATTTATGTATTTATGTATTTATGTATTTATGTATTTATGTATTTATGTATTTATGTATTATGTATTTATGTATTTATGTATTTATGTATTTATGTATTTATGTATTTATGTATTTATGTATTTATGTATTTATGTATTTATGTATTTATGTATTTATGTATTTATGTATTTATGTATTTATGTATTTATGTATTTATGTATTTATGTATTTATGTATTTATGTATTTATGTATTTATGTATTTATGTATTTATGTATTTATGTATTTATGTATTTATGTATTTATGTATTTATGTATTTATGTATTTATGTATTTATGTATTTATGTATTTATGTATTTATGTATTTATGTATTTATGTATTTATGTATTTATGTATTTATGTATTTATGTATTTATGTATTTATGTATTTATGTATTTATGTATTTATGTATTTATGTATTTATGTATTGTTTACTAATCCACTTCATAGTTCTTCCTATTTTTATTTGTATAAATTGTTATTTCTTACGAAATTTTTTTTTGATTTGATAGCAAATCTTCTGACATAGTGTCACATATCTACAAAATTTCTATATTCTCTTAGGGCGTTGTTTACTTTGTAAATTTGTAATTTTTTTCTAACTTTTATTGACCTCATTATTACAAGGATCATACACAATGTTTCCTAGAAAGGTCTTGATGAGCTGAGTTTAAAAATATAACTTTTATAGAACTTCACTATGTCGACATAGTGTAATAATTTGGCATTCTTTTTTGAAAATATAAAGAATTTCACAAAAATTCTAAAAAAGTATTTTTTTTAAGTTTTATATTAATATTCAAAAGAATACACACATATTAAAATAAAATACACAACTAGGTTATTACTTTAGTCAATGGCCTGCATTGAACCAGAGAATTATTTAAGGTAGTACGTTGATATTCTGAAAAAGTAAAACTGACACGTAAATTTTGATGTTAAACAAAAAAACTAGACTAGAGTAAACAAGACTCGAGTAAGGACTGAGGTCCAAAACTCTTGCCGAAAGGCGAGACTCCCGAAACACCTTAATGTGTAAGTAAAGTTTTGTGCAGCGATTTGTGTAATATAGGTAAATAACTTTAACTTATTTTAAATATGTTGTTTGGTTTTGTTATTAGATAATTAATTGATTTCCATATAAATTCCAATGTTTACATTTTTATCCCAAATTTATATATATATATCTTACATTACAGGTGTAATCAAAAGTAAAGTTATTTACATTATTTATTCTGGCGTTGTACAATGCGGTCAGTGTATGCGTTTATTTTGGGATTACTGTGGTCAGTTTTCCAGAGTCGCCGTACCATGATTGTTGCGGGCTAGTGACATTGCGGTCAGTGTGCTAGTAATGGCTTAATTTATATATCGATCGATAGTTTAGGCATTTCGGTCAGTGCCAACAGAATTGAGAATATAACTCTGTGTCAATTATGGAAAATTTGAAGTTGTGTCAATTATATTTTTTGTTTAATCAATATTTTGACATAAAGAGTTATCGATATAATTTTCTTGTTAATTAAAAGGATAATAAGTATTTTATTTATGAATATCACCTTCTCACAATTTTCTTTAATAAAAACTGGTTTTGGTAAACCTGATTGCTCATACTTGTTTTTCTATTTATTTCAGGTACGCCATCTCATACGTGCATTAATTAAGTATTTTATCCGTTTTATTTTACTATTATTTAATTTACGTTTTATTGTTTTTAACCATTTAATACTTATTTCTCCCTAATTTTATTTTGTTCTAAATTTTACCTTCCAATTTGAAGTTATTAAATCTTTTATTGAATTAATTTATAGTATTTGCTGATATTGATTATATAACTAAATATTTTCGCCCAAGTTTCTAATAGTTATTTTTAAATTACAAATATCTTCCTATAGTATTTATTAGAAGTAGGATTACCGTCTCCTTCAGAGGTGGAATCACCATCTCCTTCAGAGCAGGGATTACCATCTCCTTCAGAGAAGGGATAATTTTATGTTCTCCTATATTTTCTAAACACCTATAACAATATTTACCTCAAAGTGAAATAAGTATAGTCATGCCTTTTTATAAAATGATGTTTATACAAAACGCAATATCCTTGAGTTCTCAACACCGTAAAAAAAAGCACACTTCAAACCAAAACACGAACAATTTGCAAGATCTTTTCCTTACCAAAGATCAGATAATAAAACATGCTACAAATGCAATAAACCCGGACAAACAGCTAAAGTTTGCCAAAATTCTAATAAGAGAAGGTGCAATTTTTGTCATCGCAATGGTCACTTAGAGGCAGAATGTTTTCTAAGCAAACCATCTGACTAGTAATCGAAGCATCAAATCAAAGTTTTATAGAAGGATTCAGATTGATGCCATTTCATCTTCAGCTTACGTTGATTTGGGCAGTTCCTGTAGTACCATTCGTATATCCGAGGTTAAACGAATTAGTTTATCTATTGACATATCTTGTATTATTGTGCTTCATGGTTATGGCAATGGAAGGGTATCCGCACTAGGAACTGTACATTTTACAATCACTGTAGATGAAGTTCAAGAAGCAATTACCGTTTATGTGATACCCAATTCAGCTCAAAATGTCCCAATTTTATTAGGAAGAAACTTCACTGAGAGACCTAGTACATTGGTGATTAAAGATGACGCGCCCATTACAGTTTTTCAAACAATTACAAGAGCCACAATTACTTTCTACAAAAGCCACCCAAGGAAAATCCAAAGTTATCTTACACATAACTGAAAATTTTACAGTATTGCCAATCCATTGGGGAAATATACCCGTGTATAGCGACGGATTGAAAGATGACGTATTTATCAAAGCCAATCTCGGGTTTCCAGAAAATAACGACTATTTTATCCCCAATTCCATAATATCATCTATGTATATCATGTATGTCAGCTCAGTTTAAAGAAAGGCACAATTTTTGCAAGAGCATGGCCCTGCGTCAAAGAAGAAGGATATCTCAAGAAAATAATGTCCATTAACGAAAAAGAAATACCATTACCGTTAGAAGATGTGCAGATCGGCCCAATCGTCGAAGCACAAAAAACTTCAACTGTTTAACCTTTTAAATGAATTCCAAGATTATTTTGCTCTGGATACCAGTGAATTTGGTTGTTCAAGATCAGCAACCATGATAAATACATTAAACGACGACAAACTTTTTACATACAGACCATACAGAATGTCAAAATCGGAATAGAACGTAGTCAAAGAAATTGTAGACGACCTGCTACTAAACAAAATAATACAAGAATCAGACTCACAATATGCCTTCCTTGTTTTAGTGGTCAAGAAGAAAAATGGAGAAAAAAGGGTGTTGACTACCGAAAATTAAACTCTTTAACTGTAAAAGATAATCATCATTGTCTCAGATATATGATAAAATAGACAATTGAAGAGTCATTAAAACAATATACCGCTTTCGTAACTGCTGAAGGTCAGTACGAATATACCAAAGTTCCGTTTGGTCTATCGAATGCTCTAAGAGTATTCCAAAGACTGATGACCAAAATCATAAAACCTATCAGAGAAAAATCTGCATTATACTTAGATGATGTTATTTTGTTTGGTAAAACAATAGAAGAAACCCTGAATGTTTTTAGAGAAGCGTTAGAAATTTTTAGAAAAGAGGGTTCAACACTAAATTTAAAGTAACATCTGTAAATTATCTTAGATTTAAGATAGAATAAGGAACAGTTAAACCTGGCAGCACCAGCGATAAAATAAAGCTGTTGAAAACTTTCCATGTCGAGACATTTCAAGTCATTTTGCAAACAAAACAATATTCGACACATTGTTAATGCAGTAGCAACACCTAGAGCAAATGGACAAGTAGGTAAAGGAGATTAGACAAAAACAGATAATAAAAGATGTAAAGAAGTGGGTTAAATGCGGACACAGGAAAACAAACTACTATCTAATACAGTTTCTTTCCGGCCACGGAAATTTCGCAAAATATCTCCAAAGAATGAATATAAGGCCGCTACTGCAGAGAGGATGAAACCTCCGAGCACGTAGTTTTCCGACGTCTAAGGTAGGAAAATAAAAGAAAGGCCTTAATAATTGATTTAAAGAATATAGGGGTCTATTCTGTAACAATTCCTTTATATTTAACGGCATTTAAAAATATTTTCTTCTTTACTTCTGTCATTATTTAAACGGATCTTTAAAATACATTAGAGTACTATCTTAAAGAAATCTGTTTAAATAATGACAGAAGTAAATTAACGAATACAAATATACTTTTAAAGGCCGCCAATATTTTTAAAGGCCGTTAAATATAAAGGAATTTTTACAGAATAGACCCCATAGCTGGTCAAAAATCAAATTTCAAAAATAAACTTTAAAAAAATTTCACAAAAATCCCAGAGCCAAAGAAATGTTTCAGTAACAATAATTTACCATCCCCGCTTGCAAACCTTTCTTCGTGAGCATGTATATGTAGTAGAGTCGTCCCAATAGGCATATTAGAGAAGAAGGCCTTCGGGCAAACCCGTTAAACTACTCCCAATATGCCTACCAAGTAGGCAAATCGACAGATCATGCCCTGCACAATCTAGTAGGCAAAATCGGCCATTCCCTAAATCACGGGGGAGATTGCGTTAGTTGCCTTCCCATATATGGAAGGCGCGTTTAACAACGCCCTTCCTCAGTCTTTGTTCGCTTCTATTAAAAGAAGAGGAATCGACAAACTAACTTGTAATTGGATCAAAAGCATGCTGGCAAACCGGAACATCACTTCATTACTGCAGGGAGAGAATGTAATTTTTAGGCCTGCCAGAGAATGTCCACAAGGCGGCGTACTTTCACGGCTACTGTGGACTATTCTGGTGGATAACCTGTTAGACGATCTCTCCCGACAGAGGGTGGATTTCCAATGCAATTTGGATGATCTGGTTATCATAATTAGAGGAAAGTTCGAAGAGGTGATCTCCAACATCCTTCAACAAGCACTTAATACGATCAACAGAATGTGCGAGAGGGAGATGTCTGTTAACACCTTCACCAAGAGAAGAAAGCTCGACAAGCTTCGACAACCTACCTTGGCTGGGGAAGCCATTCCTTTTGCGGAGGAGGTGAAATATCTGGGAATCACCCTAAATAAGAAACTCACCTGGAACCCCCAATTGGATAAATCCATCAACAAATCCAGATTATCCCTCTGGGCCCTTAGAAGAATATGCGGCAAAGCATGGGGGGATCAGTCCTCAACTGATCTACTGGATTTACCAAACAGTGGTAAAAGCCATGGTTACGGTACGGCTATGTCGTCTAGTGGGACAAGTGACTTCAACGGACGGCCAGAGCAAAGCTGGCTGGAATACAGCGGCTTGCGTGCCTCGCCCTAACTAAAGCAATGTCAACCACACCTACGGGAGCCATGGAGACCATACTGGACCTAACCCCTCTTCATATTCCGCTGGAAAGGGAGGCCAGGATGATCTACAGGCTCCTGAAGGTGGGTAGTCAATGTTACGAAGAACTGCGATGGGACAAGATAGGGCTGATGAGTGAAATTAATAACCACGTCATCCTTGGCACGGTCTCGGACTCGTAAGTACCCCGACAGCACATAGCCATACCTCGTCCTTATTCCAGAGAAAGACGCATTGAGCAGAGGGAAAAACCCTCTCCCAGACAGACTATGCGTTGTACACGGGCGGCTCCAAAACTGAAAAAGAGTAGGAGCGAGAGTTTTCGGCCAGAGGCCTAGAGTTGACATATCAATAAACCTAGGCTCTCTGGCCACGATCTTCCAAGCAGAAATGATTGCTATAGAATTGGAAGCGAGAGTTGAAAAATTTTCTCCCTGTAAATAAGACTATAAAGATCTTTTCAGATAGACAGGCAGCCCTTAAGGCCCTGAGCGCCAATCGAGTTGACTCAAAGCTGGTTTGGAACTGTATAAATACCCTTGAATGCCTCGGTACCCGGAACAAAGTTACTTTGACCTGCTAAAAGAGGAACCGAATCTGTGTTCATAGGACCAGTACCATTTCTGGGCATTGCAAAGAGCACTGCCAAACGAATTATCTCAAAATGGACGGAGGGTGCAACATTCACTAACTGGAGAGATACCCCAGGGCTAACTCATTCGAAGGCGTTTATAACCACACCCTTCTATGAACGCCTCTGTTCAGATCCTAGAATGGAGTAGGAAAGATCTAGGCATTTTCACTGGATTATGACAGGACACTGCCGTCTGGGAAACCACATGAGGAAGGATAGGTCTGCAACAAACATCGGACTGTCGAAACTGCAGCGTGGAGGATGAGTCTGCAGAGCACATTCTATGTACCTGCTCCGCTTTAAACAAGTCTTACCCAATTCAACCATGACCTTCATCAAAAGGTGTGGCTTGTACGGTGAACTATAAGTTAGTCATGAGCCACAATAGACCCATCTGGGTCGTAGTGAAAGGCGATGAGATCATCCCTCATTTTCAACCTAACCTAACCTAGTCGTCCCAAAAAGAGCATGTTATTGTTCTCAGCGTCCTTAATTTAAACAAATAGAAATTTTGTGTTGTTCACTTAATATTTTAAAGTTATTTTGATGCATTCGAATAATTTACGTATAAATCAATATTTCTTGATATGTTTTAATGATTTTTACCGTTATTTTATACGATTTGTAGAACTTCAAAAATAGGTTGTTTTTAATGAAGTTTTTACGTAAATTTTCATGTTTATAAGAAATTTTGTTATATTATGGCGTCCTCTCGGGCAAAACTTGTTATTATATTATACAGGATGTCCCCCTAGGTTGGAATCATATGGAAAACTTTTTTATTACTAATTTTAGGAAAAAAGTTATTCTTCATAAAAAGTTCTGTATTATCTAAAACCTAGAATACAGTCATCAAATATCAAATTTTTTTCAGTGGTATACGAGGTTTGTCAAAAAATATGAGTTTTACTCAAGAGTAAAGTACCTTTATTTTTTATAAGACTGATAAAATTTGATATTTGATGGTTGTATTTTAGGTTTTAGACCATGCTCCACTTTTTATAAGGAACAACTTTTTTTCATTTAATTTTTTATGCCTATTTATTAGGTAATGGTACCTCTAAAATGCATCATGATATTACTTAAGTAAAAATATAATTTGACAACGTGATCGCTCCTGCTTTTGTTGATTAGACAGAAATTGTGAAAATTAACAATCGATTGGATCGATTATTGTGTTGTCTCTGGCAACTGACAAGCCAAAAAACTCAAATGTCGAAGGATTGCTAAACGGCAAAACGTATACAGTTCGTTTTTCATGTTTGAATTTTGGCAGATTTTTGAGTGGGTGTTGTTATTTTTTGTGCTTTTTCGTTATTTGTGATTTTGTTACTTTTATAAGACTTCTATTAGTTATAAGGATATATTTAGTGATACTGCGTTTTAGTTGTTAGTGTATAAACTTTTACCTTATAAAATATGGGGCATCATGCAAATGTCCCGAATAGAAAGAGGAAGGGAAATAAGATGTGCAATTGGAAAGTCATGCGTGTTCCCAAAAGTCGTTTGGTTTCAAAGTTCCTCAAGGAATAAAAGTGTAACAAAAATTTAATGTTGAAAGACATATAAAGGATTCATTTCCAATATGTTTGACTTCTGTGTTATATTTTAGGTTGTTTTTATTGTAATGTACTATAATCTTTTTTCTAATAAACTACTTTTTCATTGTTTTATGTCTAATTATTTTTTATATTTCCTTCTACCCATGTCCTATCAATAATTATTTT